CGAACAATTCGACTTTTTTATTTATTTAATTTGTCTATATTTTTTTTTCACACATTATTATTTTTATATCAAAAATTCTGTTATTTAACTTATTTTTAAATAAATAACAAAAGAATACGTTTCGCAGCAAGTGATCCATTTTAAATGTACGAATAGTACTGATAAGATAAAAAAGCGCTTACAATTTTGATCCCAGTTACCAAATTGTTAAAATCGATTTACCAGTTTCGCATTTTTTTAGTTGAAAACATTGTTTTCTGTAATTAAGACGGCAAGCTAAACAGTATTCATGAAAAATGTCGGAACAGATCAGAGTTGATGTGGCTACACCTGAGTGTCATCATTTTCGTGGAGTGTTTGGGCTGTTTCCTTGGAACTGGGGTCGGCCATGTCGTTATTGTCGACGACATCCACAACAACAAGTAATTGTAGTAGCTGCGCCTAATAGACCGTGTGCTGCTCCTAATACAGCATATGCTGCTCCACCTATGCAAAGTACGCCAGCTGACACCTATAGACCACCTCCCCCCGGATATGATGCCGCTGTAAACCAATATTCAAGGAACTAAATAGGAATATGTTTTCTAAATAGGCTATATTTTCTATTTATGAGTAATTATTATGAGTAATCATTCAAGATTGTGTTTATAAATTTAAAATGAATAAGACTATTTAAATAAATAAATAATTATCCATAAAAAAATAAAAATTAAAATTATTTTATTAAATTAAAATATTTTTAGTCAATTTTAATTGGCTTTTGATGAACGGGATCGGTTTATTAGATACTTACATAACATTTTCTAAAAATAAATTAATTTATTAGCTTCCAATTTTCTTTGTTATATATCTCCGTTTAAGGGACATACGGACACAACTATTTATTGAAATTCCTATTGTTTCATTTGAAATGTAGTCTTGGTAAATCCTTTTCTATTAATCATTATCAGGTCGTGACCAATGCTACCTGAATACCTGATAGCTTAATGGTTCTAAATTATAGTATGTTCTGCAAAAAACCTTTATATATGCTGGGTTCTCTAGGCTCCACTAGAAGTTAGCATATGTCCGATTTGATTTCTTTAACGTGTTTTCATTTTATTTACACGGATTTTTAAGTTAATCCATAATAGAAATCGTAACTCTATTATGGAAATATATACTACAGTACCAAATTTATTAGATTTGATATACCTAAGCATTTTTGAGTGTTTTGCGAGCATAATAGAGAATTCTTTTGGCGTTATATTTAGAAACAAATAACTTCGTTCCTAGCCCAAAAGCGATTTAAGTTTTACTTGATCGTGTTGCTACCACGTCTTTATTAATTCGACTTTTACTTGTCTTGATGAAAGTATTTACCCATTTTACGCTCTGTTTATAACTATAGGTTTCTTTCAGGACCTGAAAATGGCAACATTTTTATGAGACAAGCTACCACTTACAACAACGTTGTGTTTGTTGATTCACAAGACCAAGTTTGCAGTTCATCATAACCGCACAGTCTTCAATTTTTTTGGACTTATTTCGATTCTCTGTGTTTGATATTTGAGATTTTATGGTTCGTACGCTAATGATTTGTAGTTCAGTGTGGCTCTGGCTCAATAAAAAAATATCTTCGAGAAAACTCGAATCTTGTAGATGACAAGAAACTCTCAATTGTATGGCCGTTTTTTAGAGAAACTTGATCTTCTCACTAAGGTGGAAGTTATGCCTAAACACATAAGTTCAACTCGTACTGCCGGAATTTCTGGGACTTCCAATAGGGCGTTCATTGGCACTATATACAGATGCGTGTGTAAAGAACACGTTAACAATCAAATTGAGAAAATGAACTTTGTCATGTCTGTTGAAAAAGGTTGAAAAAGTTGATTTTAATGGATAACAGTGTTTCCTTGGTCTTTGTATAGCACGTCTAATTAATTTATTATTTTACCAGACATTCCTTCTTTTATGATGCATACCACACTATCTGAAATTTGGATTAAAACTAGGGAAAGAATGCATAAATAATCATTGCAAGTAAAAGAATACGAAATTCACTGCATTTTTCGAAAACTTTTTGAACCGTATTTATAATTCCTGCACTTGAACTCTTTTTTCGAAAATCAATTCAATTTTTTTTTATAACTTAACAATCCAATGCGGTCAATTAATATTGTTCAAAAAATTTGACTAGTAATAGACACTAAACTGATTCTAAACTTATGCGAGATGGAAGAGTAGAGCCATCTGCAACACAAAATTCATTTGGTCCCGTTGTAATAAAAGACGCTGAAATGAACTACCCAAAAGTAAGGCTGTGCATCTGTATAAGTATCAAAAACATCAATGTATATATCGAAAGGTTATGTGAGAGGGAGGAGAGTGTCTAACATTGCATTGTTACTGTCTTGCACTGACAACTTTAATCCCATATAATTAACGATTAATGCCTATAGACAATTTTTTTTATCAGATAGCTTATCGAAGTTACTCAGTATTTAATAACGAAACAGAATGACTACCAAAACAGGAAACAGAGAAGGAAAATCCGCTATAAATGACATCATAATGGGTGAGTTAATGACCTAACAGTGTCAAAAGTCGAGAGCCATATCACCTAACCTAACATAATGTTAATTCAGTCCAGTTCATTTACAATTTCTTTATACAATTTTTACAATCTCTAGTAGATATAGATTAATATTAAGATTTGTTAAATCGTTTCACTAGAATGACGTAATATATCTGAAATTAATCTAAAAAAAAATAATTCACAAAATACAGACTTCATACTATTATATAACAAATTTTATTTCTCTTTGAATCGGTTTACATTTTTATTTAAAAAACTGAATAATAAATTTATAATAAATTACAATTTCCACAAAAAGACAATATTTTATATAAATTAAAAGTAGAAAAAATTGTTAACATCGAAGAAAGTTGACCGCATTCACCATCTCGAATTGTCGAAGTGTTCAGGGTATGGATTTGGACGATATGGTGGTGGCTGTTGCTGTTGAACAACTACAACAGAACCTGGTGGATTATATACTGAACTAGGTGTCACAATATCTACTTCGTAGCCTGGTCGCCGTTGAGGAAGAATATCAACTTCAATCATAGGGCGGGGTGGAGGTGGTGGAATCCAAGCCGGTTGTGTGACAATATCTACTTCCACTGCTGGTCTATATGCGGATCCGATACCTACTTCTATTGCTGGACGAAACATTGGTGGTCTTACATCAACTTCTATAATAGGACGATTATGGTGGTGATGATGATGATGATGATGAGGTCTATCCCAGGGAGCCATTTTCGAAATTTCAGCAACAAAAAAAACTTTATATATATTTTTTAAATAATTTCGTAATTAAAATATTTGTAATTGCGTCAACCACTTTTCACTTAAGCTCTATTTTAGAAACTGTTTAATTTAGTGGTCTATTCCGAATTTATAATATTATTTAATGGACATTTTTTTATCTAGGGAGTTTTTTCGTAATGCCATTTATCAATCGTTATCTATTCTTACTTTAATGTTGAATTTAGCAAACAATATAATTTTTAAACTAAACTTTGTTGCGAATTATATCTATTAGCTACTGCGTACTCATCAATACAGGGTGTTTCAATTTGAAATGCTTTAACTTTAAGAGGTGTTTTTCCTTGATCAAGACTCGATGAAACCCGTATAGAGAGGGAACTCAAAGATAGGGTTTTGCAGAATAAAATTGCGGAATCCATTGATGTCCACACTACTTTACTCATCATCAAGTCTTGCGCTGAACACATCCATTTGGGAGTTGTATGAGTACCTATTATTCCATTTATTTATTTTGTCAATAAGTAAATATATGTGAAGATGTTAGTTTTACGTTAGAATTATAAAGAACAAATTACTAAGTTATCCCCGTAGACTTTTATATATTGCAGATACTTTGAAAGTGTGCTTTTCATCCAAGTGAGGTTATATAGAAGTTAGGTTAGAAAGCACTTCTCATAGCTTTATTTCAATGACTACGTGTGAAGTTAATAGTAATATAAGTTTCTATATAGCAGTTGTGGAACACTTGTTTAAAACATTAGTAACATCTTAACATGTCAACCTTTGCACTGTAACTTTTGAACGCTACTTTGCTTAGTGTTTAATTACTATAAAACTATTTCTTGTATAATTATACGATTATAATTCTATTAAAGTACATTAGGATGAATGATATCCTTAGGGACCTCAAGATTGATCCCATCAAAAAATACATAAAGGATAGAGCCCTGAAATTATTTGCGAAATCTGACAGACTTACTAACACCGCGTTAACAATTCTTAGAATGGTTGCAGGCTCCACGGGGAGGTATGCAGATCTGAGGTCAATTATTACTTAGTCTGATGATGTGATAAATAACAATCCAGTCAAGGCGCAAAGAGTGGTTTTGAAGAAACCTCGCAGTTAATATAGAGTAAAAGTGCTCAGGTGCACTGACTCAACTTGCCTCAACATAATAATTAAAGTTTTATATGTTGAAAATTTAACTTTGAGACTTGATCCTCAGATATTATAATAAAGATATTGACAGGTTATCATTTTGAACCATGAAAAATCACAACCCAGGTGAAAGAATATTCCTTCTTGAAGTTAATGGATGCCGGACGTGATATTTCTGCCTAAAATATTTTTGAAATCTGACTTTTTTTGTTTCTCTATTTTAATCTAAAATGTTACCATTTGAACACTCTTATATTTAAAACCGATCGGATAAATGTTAAAAATGATATTTTTTGAAATAACATTATTGAAAATAATTGACTCGACTTCGTTTTCTTTGGTTTCATTTTATTGAAAATAAAATTTTATTTTTTTTTATAAGAAAATATTAAAAATCGCTTATAACATTTCATGCAATTACCAAGCTAAATTCTTTATTTACATGAGGTAGTGACATAAGGTAGTTGGAAATATATAACATTATACGATTTGTAAGAAATCTTTATTATAATAAACAAAAATATTCACAATTGATTCAATATTATTGGAATAGTTTCTTCTTTTTGACGAGATAATATTTTTTATATATTTTTCGTATTTTCAAAGTTAAAAATTATTTTAAAATTATAATTTATTTAATTATTCTAATTTATTTACTTCTGCATATACACGTTTGTTAAAAGTATAAAAGTTTTCATATATATATAAAATAATACATATACATTAAATATGTTTTTTATTTCAATAGAAAAATTAAATTTCAATTTTTAATAATATGTAACAACCCTGCTGCCAACTGAGCGCTGTTATAATTTATTTAAGGTATGGACCGACTGATATGATACACTACGATACATTGATAAATCTACTTTCGTGTTAACATAAAAATATTTTAAAAAATTTTTTCTATAGCTACTGTTAAGGCATGGGCCTTCTTTTTGTAGACCTTATATTTTCTATAATTAAGTTTTCAACCAAGAATAATAAAAAATTAATATTAACAAAGTTTTTATTCGTTTTCTAATTGTGTTTCAAAAATCAGAATTTTACATGTCACGTCACTGTTCTATCTATTCGTAAGAGCACAAAATCACAAAATAGCAATAAAGGGATGTGAACAGAACTGTAGGGCTTAACTAGTGCACAAAAGTTTGAAATATATATATATATAATATGTTTATATACATATGATATATCATATATTTAGTTTCGTAAATCAATTCTTTTTTTTTTTAAATAAATTCAACATATCAAATAATTTTCGCAATTGCATTCCAATATTGTAAAATAAAATAATAAAATTTGTTAATTTATTTATAAATTAATTTTCCTGCACTACCGATAATTTTTTCTTTCAGTGTTGTGAAAAAACAACATTAATTTTAATTAAAACAAATTGGTATTGCATTTTTTTGGTGTGTTGTGTACAATATGAAATATAAAAATTGTACTCCAAAACTTAATTATTTTAAATAAAAGACAATAAAATAAATATGAGAATAGCAATAGTAAACATTTTTATCTTGTACATTTATTTAAATTAATTAATTTATTTATGTATTTGAATTTAGTTAATGAAATACTCATATGATTATAACGGATTACAGAAATTTTGCAACATATCTCCACTGAACATTCACAATAGACTTTTTTTTGTACTGTATTGTACTGAAACTATTTATTTATTTATTTATTAAGCATCTTATAACATTTTTACAATGATAATACCTAATTGACCTAATTTTTTTCTAATTTACACTAATCGAAATTCTGGTAAATACCAACATTCGCTGCCATACCGATATAATATACTATTTCCTTCAATTTACCATCAATATACTCGAACGCGCACACGGTTTGTGTTAATAAAGTGCCCTACGACAAAATTTCCTGCTGGGAGTAAAAACATATGAAACATAAAGCAGTTGGTCACCCTAAATCAGAAATCAACAAATCGTTTCGTTTCATACAAAATTTCATTGTTGTCATCATTCCGTTTTGTGGTTTCGTTGGTGACGGTTCGTTATACGGTTTGTGCGTGTAGCGGGAAATTGTTTTATGTAAAACAATGCTTACATTAGTAAAATAATAATGTTTAATAATAATAATATGTTATAACTAATAAAATAAATGCAACGATTTAAAAGAAAAATTAATATTTATTGATTAAAAAATATTAATAACGAAAAAGGATTAAAGAATTAAAATTACTAATAAGATTTTATTCGGTTTAACTTACTGTGTGTATAAAATTGATCGAATTACCAACAATATTTAATAATAAATAAAACAATTACTTTATAAATTGTTAACATTCTTATATTAAGAGAATTTATAAATATTAAGGATATTTTCCAAAATATTTGCCGTCTGTGTAGTTAAAAAATGTTAGAAATTTAAAATTGTTTGGTGTGAGAAGTGGATATGTTAAAATGAGACAACTATACATGTTTTATGTGCAATTTTGAGATTTGTTTTGCTTATCAGTGTTTTTTGTTGTTATTTTTTGTGCCGCGCCGTTTGTTTATGCAAAAAGAAAAAACTAAAACATAGTAAATACCTTATAGTAAATTGTTGTTGTTATTTGTAAAGCAATCGGTGCCCTTGTAAAATTTGCCGGTAAAATAAAAAATCATAAATAAATTCATGAATGCAATCGCCAAATTTCTGATATGAAAAACTAAATAGGAATTCCTTCTGTGTTTTGTTGCTACTGTAAGGAAAGAAAAAATTTTTATGAATACACAACAAAAGTGGTGTGAGTGATGACTTTTCTCAAGAAATAAAATATAAAATGTTTACATGTTTCACTTTTATGTTTAATAAATAATGCAATAATATGGTTAAAAATGTAAAACTATAATAAATAACACTGTAGTAAATTATAAAATAAAATTGTTGTTTATTTTCCAATAAGGGAAAAGTTAAGGAAATGTTTCAAAGACATTCAACACCCTGTATGTTAAAATACAGTGTCAACGGTCCTTGTTATGTGTCTGCTATGTTGCTGAAGCACATCGTCTTATTGCTGTTTTGTCTGCTGTTAATACTGCAGTGTCGTGTCTCATGTGGAAGTCAAGGTATTTAATTATTTAAAAAAAAAGGAATTAAAATAAGTTATCAGATGTTTATAATTGAATGTCCTTAAAATACAGTTAAGTTAGAAAACACATGGTTGTATTTTAAATGCTTTTGTTTTGTATAAACAAAGTCTAAAAGAGACACCGGGTCCTATTTGATCCATAGTGGTGTCTCTATAGAATGACTCTCGAATGAGTTAATTGTATTAATGGACCTAATAATATTATTTGGTGTAAAAATCCAGGTCTTTCTGGATTTCTATGAAATTCAAGGAAATATTTGTCATTCTTACATGCGATTGTCAGAAAGTGGGTTCTACGTTTAATGAAGTTATTTAAAAGAAACGTTAAATAAGGACTACTAATTAACAAAAACATTTAATAATAATTAAATTTAATAATAATAATAAAATTTAATAATAATAATTA